CCGCTTTAGTCCCTCTGACAAGTAGATTTAAACATAAATAAATAAAAATCTCCCCCCCCCGCCCTTTGCTATAAGCCCCCTGCGATATCTCTATGCATGCGCAGTTTCCAGCCTTGGTGTAACAATTAGCACTAGGTCACATCCCCTGAAAATGTGTTTAGTACATAGGTAGCAGAGAATGGTAGGAATGAGAAAAGGTTATTGAAGGTTTTATGAAAGGAAAATATATTCTGATCAAAGGATGAATGACGACAGTAACCGAAAGTCTAAAACGCCTAAGAAACCAATAAACACGTTAAACATTTACCGCCTCACAATGAAGCCCGGTTTGGCCTAGTTTAGAAGATTATTATTTCAGTTTTTACAGATTTTTTGCACATATTCTCCAGCAGATGGAGTCTTGGCATTGCTGTAACCAATCTTACAAATTAAAGAAATGTCACACGTCGTTGCCTCCGGTTTAGAGGAAAATCAGTATTTTATTTGGTAAAAAAAAAAAAACACATTTAATATTCTCTAGCTTTCACTAATTCTGCTCATTTATTAGAAAACAATAAAGTATTTTTATTGCATGAGCCAAGGCGTGGAGGATATAAATAAAACAAAACTATTTAAACACTGTGATCTGAGGTGACTTTAATTTTGATTTCCTAATGTGCATTTTATTACAGTAATAAGAGTGGCCAGTTATAGAACTACATTTACCATCATCCTTTGCCACTCCTAAGATTAGTTTGCCAGCAGTTTTTGTAATATTTTATTCCAGGTATTTTAATGTACACAATAAATGTTGCATTAGGCCTTACCTTATAGAGGTACTGTAGCTAGAAGTACTAAAAGTACAATTTCCATCAGGCCATTCCTGTCTCGCAAAGCATCACGGGAGTTGTAGTTCTCCTCCTCAGTCAGCCCTGGCATGCAGCATGTTTAAGGGATGGACCGCCCACCGTGTCACGTGACCACCACTGCGCGTGCGCCTCCAGCCAGGTGGCGATTCCCGCCAATTCTTTCATTCTCCCCCTCAGAGGCGGCGTGTCTTCGTGCTGTCTGGCTTTACTGCGGTTATTACGTAACGGCGACCACCAACCTACCTTCACCGGTGAGGGGGCAGGGTGATACTTACCGTGACGGCATTACTGACGTTTTATTTTTTATTTTTTTTTATTACAAACAGTGATAAATGCTGTAAGGAGTTATAATAATAATGGTAAATACTGTGTGGAGAAATAATGGTAAATGCTGTATGAAGAAGTGATGATAATAATAAATACTGTGTGGAGAAATAATGGTAAATACTTCTGTAAGGGTGTGTGAGAGCGCTGTGTGTGTGTGGGTGCTGTTAGTGTGGTGTGTGAGTGAGAGGGTGCTGTGAGGGTGCAGTGTGTGAATGAGGGTGCTGTTAGTGTGGTGTGTGTGTGAGTGAGAGGGTGCTGTGTGTGTGTGTGAGGGTGCTGTTAGTGTGGTGTGAGTGAGAGGGTGCAGTGTGTGAATGAGGGTGCTGTTAGTGTGGTGTGTGTGTGTGAGTGAGAGGGTGCTGTGTGTGTGAGGGTGCTGTTAGTGTGGGTGTGTGTGAGTGAGAGGGTGCTGTGTGTGTGTGTGGGGTGCTGTTAGTGTGGTGTGTGTGAGTGAGGGTGCTGTGTGTGTTTGAGGGTGCTGTTAGTGTGGTGTGAGTGAGAGGGTGCTGTGTGTGTGTGAGGGTGCTGTTAGTGTGGTGTGTGTGAGGGTGCTGTTAGTGTGCTGTGTGAGTGAGAGGGTGCTTTTAGCGTGATGTGTGTATGAGTGAGAGGGTGCTGTGAGGGTGCTTTTAGTGTGGTGTGTGAGTGAGAGGGTGCTGTGTGTGTGTGACGGTGCCGTTAGTGTGGTGTGTGAGGGTGCTTTTAGTGTGGTGTGTATGAGTGAGAGGGTGCTGTGTGTGTGTGAGGGTGCTGTTAGTGTGGTGTGAGTGAGAGTGTGCTGTGTGTGTGAGGGTGCTGTTAGTGTGGTGTGTGTGTGAGTGAGAGTGTGGTGTGTGTGAGGGTGCTGTTAGTGTGCTGTGTGCGTGTTAGTGTGGTGTGAGTGTGAAAGAGGGTGCTGTTAGTGTGTTTGAGTGAGAGAGTGCTGTAAATGGTAAATACTGTGTGGGGAAATAATGGTAAATACTGTATCTAGAAATAATAATGGTAAATACTGTGTGGGGAAATAGTAATGGTAAATACTGTGTGGGGAAATAATAATGGTAAACACTGTTTGGGGAAATAATAATGGTAAATACTGTGTGGGGAAATAATAATGGTAAATGATGTGGGGAGAAATAATAATGGTAAATTGATGTCTGGAGAAATAGTAATGGTAAATGCGCTGTGGAGAAATATTGATAATAAATACTGTGTGGAGAAATAATGATAATAAATACATGGAATGGAACTATAATGAATGTTTAATACTGTATGGAGCTATAATAATGGTTAATACTATATGGGGCTATAATAATGGTAATTACTGTATAAAGCTATAATAATGGTAAATAATAATGGTGAATACTGTATTGGGCTATAATAGTGAATGTTGTATGTGGATGGAATAATAGTAAATACTGAATGGATGGTAAATGCTGTGTGGGGCTATGATTTATAGTAAATAATAATGGTAAATGCTGTGTATGGCTAAAATAATGGTAAATACTGTATGGGGCTATGATTTATAGTAAATAATAATAGTGAATGCATGTAGTGGCCAAGAGTGTTCTGTAATGGTAAATGTTGTGAAGCTGAGGTAGAATGGTTTTATTAAAGTGCAGGTATTTATTAAAAATCTTTATCTTTACCACAGTACCAGTAATGAGATGTTTCTCTTCCATTAACATGTGCAGAGAATAATGAAAATACCATGATTAGCTGAGAATTCTCAGCCATTCCTGGAGAGGCTGCAAATCTGCAGCAAATATATACAAATTTTCCACTCTGTCTATATCACATTCCATTGCAATCTCAAAGTTTGGTATGTCATATCGTAAGTATAGGTTTCGTGGTAAGCAGGTTCTTATAATAATATTTCCTTCTTTTTGTGTGTCTGTTTGTTGTGCAGTTAAAATGGAAGAGGCAAGCCTGATGAGCAGTATGGATAAGCTTTTGGTAGAACTTGGTATGTTAATAAGGATTTGTGTACTTCATCTTCCTTAATTCAATTTGTATAGCACTATTTTTAATACTACTATTTCTGCTTCAGTTTTCCAGCTTGAACAGGATACCCAAGAAAATAATAATCTGAAGGAGCAGATTCAAAGTAAGGTTTTTACACACTTTAGCAAACAGAATCCCGAATCAACCAATCAGCACATAGCACATTTTAAAAAGTCTGTCACTTACCACAGCTTCCTCTTCTTCTTTGACCCCACTGCCCACCCACAAAACACGAGGCTCATTTTATGCTTGTTTAAAGGACCACTATAGGCACCCAGACCACTTCAGCTTAATGAAGTGGTCTGGGTGCCAGGTAACCCTTTTTTCTATAAACACAGCAGTTTCAGAGAAACTGCTATGTTTACCTATGGGTTAATCCAGCCTCTAGTGGCTGTCTCATTGACAGCCGCTAGAGGCGCTTCCGCACTTTTCACTGTGATTTTCACAGTGAGAAGACGCCAGCGTCCATAGGAAATGCTTTCCTATGGACTGGCTGAATGCGCGCGCGGCTCATGCCGCTCATGCTCATTCAGCCGGGGAGGAGGAGAGTTCCCCGCCCGGCGCTGGAGAAAGAGCTAAGTTTAACCCCTTCCACTCCCTAGAGCCCTGCGGATGGGGGCCCTGAGGGTGGGGGCACCCTCAGGGCACTATAGTGCCAGGAAAACGAGTATGTTTTCCTGGCACTATAGTGGTCCTTTAAAGGAGCACTCCAGGGCCATAACATCTTCATTGAAATGAAGACTTGTTATGGTGCCGGGAGGTCCCCGAGCGCTTTCTTACCCCAAAGTTTGCCTCCAGCACTGGATTCCAATTCCCACCGTCAACATCTGATTTCTAAAATTGACTATCAGGAAGCGCAGAGTGCGACCTGGCAGGGGCGCAGCTGATTGCCAGCTGGCACGTACCCTTTTTTATGAAGGAGCAGCTAATGATTGAAAAGGTGTAACACATATTTAGGTCTCGATTTAATAGATCTTTGATCCTATTGCTTTAAATAATGAACCAAACATCTATTTGGATCATGAGGGGAAAAGTGGGATTAAAATATTGAAGGTGTTTTTTTTTGTCTGTCTTTTCTGGACATCCAGAACTTTGATCATTAAAACATTTACCTGGTAATTTTTGTTGTTGCCTGTTCTTTCCTGGAAACTATTTTCTAAGGTAAATTTTCTTTGTTAAAACTTTATTAATGTCTCAAGTGTCCTGATATTTCATTTGAGGTGGTCTTTCAGTAATTCCACTCATATGCCTGCTTGTTGTTGTCCCATTTGATTGTTGTCCATGAAGACATGATGTGCTGAAATAGTCGACTTGTAGACATTTATGGTACTATATGAATTACCTTGTTCAAAACAGAAAATAACATAATTAGCCAGCCAAGAATGAGAGCGCTCAGGTGATGCTCTCAGCCAATGAACTACTGGCAGAATTAGTATTCAGCTTCTGAAACTGTATGAGTATGACGACACTAGAGAAAGCTTGGTGCACAGCAGGTCCCAGGCAAGAGGAGACTGTTGCAGTGGGCTGTCGTGGTTACGTAACCTTTTAAGAAGAATGGAGGAAATATATAATGTTTGTTTTCGACCAATCTAATGTAAACTTGTGGTCTTTGAATCTGAACTACATCTAAAAAATTTCATCAGTTGGCTGAATGTAACCCCAAAGTATCAACTTCTGGGGGCATGTCCTGGAACTGCACTGAGTAAGACACATATACCTTGAGCCGTGCTTCGAATTGAGGCCTAAGCGACTTTCACAGCCTACTTCTGAGAACCATATCACCCACTGGCCAGGCAACACTATCCAAACCATTCTGACCAGATGGCACCCCACAAAAGCCACATGGGATCTGAAACTCCCAGATTATTGGGAGAAAAGAGAGGTTCAGATGCTCACAATGTCAAGAAGGCAAATGCGTTGAGGCTTTCTCACACCCTTCAAAAACTGTATCCAAATCGGAGATCCTCTCAGAGACTTACCATGAATCGGGAAAGAAGATCTGATGTTACAAGACCTCAAGAGGACTCTTCAGGCCATCTCTCTGTGGTGGACCTCCACCGTGACATTCAGTCAGTTGGGGAAAAAATAGATAGGCTGGAGACCAAAGTGGATGAACTGTGCAAAGTCCACAACAAAGATGTGGACATTCTAGCAGCAATGTAGAAAGTTCATAGGCGGCTGCTGTCCGATTTTAGTTCCAGACACTCGACGACCAAGTCCCGCTGCCTTTGTCCCGAACAAACAAGATTGCCACCGTTTTCTCCACCACGTGGCATTCGAATATACGAATGGCGGCCACCCTGAGAGAGAGCTTAATTGACGGGCTCCTTTGAAGTCAATGAGCCAGGAGGGTGGTCGGTGTTCGGTAGTTTCAATCTACCGAACCAATGTGGCATAAAATAAACGAATACTCCAAACAGATGAATGCTCAGAGAAAACCCCGAACTCCCGGTGGGTTTTCTCACAGACACTAATAGACTATCTGACTACCGGTACCAGTCAATTGTTTGCTTTTATATCAAAATTAACTTTCTGTATTATATAAACGAAATGTAACAATCCGAAATTCTCCTTGACACAAAACTGTGTGCCTCTGAAGAATGAAACACGGTATGCACTCCACCTCGGCTTGTTTCACCAAATGTACAATCGAAATTAATACTTCAACTGTTTGTATTAATATATCACGACCAGCAATGTATTAAATGGATTGTTACTCCAAAATAAAGGATTTCAAAAAAAGAAAAGGGGGGGGGGGGAGGGGGGAGAAAACCACAATAATCATCATAACTGAACAAAACATCATTATATTTTATTTTAAATTTTCAAGTTTTGTCCAGTCAAGATGTTTAGACTGCACTGTCCCACCATTCCATATAGACCCCAGGGAAAACAGGTTCTTAAAGGGACACTCAACTGCCCAAATGCAAAATAAATAAAAATCACTGTTCCGTAGATATAACCCAAATGAAAACTTGCATGCATTTAATTATAGAGTTTTTAATTTCGGTTATGTCTAAAAACCGCTTACAAAATCTGCATTTTTCTTGTAAGTTCCCTTTGCAAGCTCTCCCTTTCTAACCCCACCCATACTTTCTGTGGCTGTCCAATCACAGACATCCCAATGCAGCTCAACTTTGCAAGGCAAGTGCTCTGAGCAATTGCTGCATCTTGAGTTTAGCTCCACTCCGCTTACTAAATCAGGAAGTAACAGGATCTGTTCTGTGCTTGAAAGCCAGGAGGTGTAACAGGTTCATGTTTAAAACTGCCAATTCCTATTGAAATCTCCACTCTTTTGCAAAATGAAAAAATAGGACACAGACATAAAGCTTTATAGCAATCTAAAGTGCTTTAGGGTTTTGGAGTGACCCTTTAAGTAAACCTTTCGAACCTTATGATGGTTTTTGATAATTTTGTGCCTTCCTACTGTGATTCGCTGAGTAATTCTACAACCAGCCAAGAAACTTACGTCTCAGAATCACATACCACATCTAGGCTGAAAGGCGTGGTATTTTTACCCAGGTTGATTGGTCCCAGCTTACCCCCGCCTCACAATGAGAAGTCAAACATGATTTCCCAAAGTCCCAACTTACCAAGATTACCATCAACAGCTCATGCAATGTTAGTTCATCTAACTTTTTAAAATTGAATATTCTACGTTAAAATATTTGTATGACTTTTGTTGTATATGGTTCTGTTTGGTTTCTTACCAACCCTCCATCCTAACAACTGTAGTGCAAGAACGACAACCACTCACTCATGATGACTCCAGCGCTTTTACTTGCAAAGTGTCTACTTCTAGCAACTCCATACCAAGCGCCTATTTCATACTTCATTCATGGCAGCATCTTTCCTGACCTTTTGTATAAATGCAAAAGGTCTGACTGGTATCCAAAAGAGAAGAATGACCCTATCAAAAGTCAAAGCTGCAGATGTGGCAATTCTTTGTTTGCTGAAAACACATTCCTACACCACAAAACCTCCAGAATTTTTTTCTCCACTCTACTCCATCTTTTACCATGCATACTCTCCTACCAAGACGGAGGGAGTATCCGTTCTGATCCACAAGGGCTGATCATTCCAAGTCAACCAGCAAAGCACAGGCCCCAAATTCAATCTACTAGTCTTAGAGGAACTACTTAACAATGCAAAAATCACTATCACAACCATCTATGCCCCCAATGAAAGCCACATACCTTTTCAACAGAGATTTTAACTGCACCCCTCATCCTCCACAAGATACCTCTGACATGACTCACAGGCAGCCCTTTGCCAGAGCTCAACTATAAGACCTACTATTCAAGTCTGGGCTTCACAATGCCAGGAGAGAACTCAACCCTCAAGAACTTGACTACACTTCCTTTTCCCCAGCCAACAAAAAAATGCTCTAGGATTGGATTGAGTATCTAAACGGATTACGCAACCCTTCCACCCATACTTTCAGTCAAAGTAGGCAATATCTGTTGGTTGGATTACGCACCTGTATTAGTTTTCATTTCCTCCATTCATCCAGCAAAGGGCTGTGGATAATGGAGACTGAATGAAACTATCTTGAATGACAGAAGCAGAATAGAATCTCTACACTCCACTATTCTTGATGTGGCGAAACCAGCCTCACCACTGTCCACTGGTGGGGCCTGGTTGCTCGCCTGCTCCCTTTAGACTATGGCCCGGCAGTTAAAACCTTTTATTTTCCCTGCAGAAAAGCGTATTTGTGCCTTTCTGCAGACTGTTAAAGCCATGCTACCCCAAATAGCTATGCCATGGAGCCCAGCCGTATACTGTATGAAAGACTTTGGCTCCATGGTGATTGAACTGTATGTACGTGATCTGAGCGCCATCCGGTAATAATGTGCTCTCAGATCTAAGCTATCTGGGGATAGGTAGAATGTGTATGTTTTATGTGATAAATGTAACCTGGTGTATTTTATTGTATTTTACTGTCTTTTTACTGCCATGTGCTTAATAGAGTTTTGCCTCTGTCCTTGGAGATAATTGGATTACTTCCCAGTTATCTCCAGGATAGAAGACTCTGTGGAACTGGTTTTGGGCAGAAAAGCCATGCTTCATTTGGTCACAAAGGATTTCGATCTATCTTTTGAACCAATGGACCAATTTGGATGATTTTGACATATGTTTGTATTTGGAGTATGCTGATTCTGTTTTTTTATGTGAATGTGATGCATACTTTTCAAGTTCTGAATAATGTGGAAAAACTGTATTTCTCTGGCTGTTATAATTACATTACCCATTGTGTAAGGTAATTGTATCACAGGCAGAAGGGAGGATTTTGTGTGGGAGTGTCTGAGTGTATTGTACGTGTTTATTGGTTGTTTTCCAAAACCCTGTGGGTGGTACTAATGTGTATATAAGAACAATAAACCCACAGCTCTGTCTGTTCTGCTTGACCTCAAAACGAAGTGTCGTCTCGTTATTGGGGGAATTGGATTGTATGCTGATTGCCAGGAGTTTAAGCTGATTGTATGCCTTTCCTGTTCAGCTGCTTCCATTATTTGTGTGTTTCCTGTTCGGGAGTTAGAGGATTCGTGTAGTTTGCAGTTCGGGAGATTGGTGCTTACAGTAGCTGTCTGTGCATCTGGAAAGGGGAATATTGCCTAAACGGTTTTTAACCCCTTATGTGTAAAACGGTCCGTTACACTCGATATACTTCCAACACAATACTTCTTCTGATATACCTCTACTGTTATTATGGATGGTGCATAAGGCAGTACTTAAGGGAGCTATTATCTAACACTGCTCAATCTGCAAAAAAATATAACTTAAGAAAAATGGAAGCTCTACAGTCACAACATACCAAGAACAAAACCCAACTGCACCCTCAGAACCTCAAAGAGCTCTCCTAGGTTTGGTATTAGCTACAACAACTACCGCTTCAACATACAGAACTGCCTCCGACTATTAAAACTCATGTACTGTGTACAAGGCAATAGAATTAGTAAATTCCTTTCATCCTTGCTGAAAGCCAAACATCCTTGCTGCAATCCTATACATAACGAAATCTGATAAAAGTAGACCAGTGGTGGCAATAGGTAGACCCCCAGATGTTTTAAAAGTACAGCTTTCATGATGCTATGTCATTGTAAAGGCATTATAAAGGCAAGCAAAGCACCATGGGAGTTGTAGATCTACACCATCTGGGGATCTACTTTTTGGGCACCCCTGAACTAGGGTAACAAATGCAATTGCAATCGTAAATGTGTTTGCATCTTTTTACAAAGGACTTTATAATCAATATCACAACACATACATGAGAAGATTTCCACCTTTCCTGGGGATATAACCCTTCCCCAACTGACTAAGTAACAGTCCTCCTTCCTAGACGAACCTATCAAGTTAGACAATACTCTAAAAGCCATCCATTTGCTACCTCCCAACAAAGCCCCAGGACCTGATAGCTTCTCCAACAAATACTAGACCACATTTGCCGATACTGTAGCTCCACATGTGACCACTTTTATACATCCACTTTCAAACATCAAGCTCCATTCCATTATGGCTACAATAGTTACCTTGCCAAAACTGGTGCAAACCCTGAATATGTGCAAATGTTCTCCTTACATCCCTTCTGAATGCTGAAAATAAAGATATATGTAAATATTTTGACCACCTGACTAAATCAGCTCCTCCCTTCCCTCGCCTCCCCAGAACAGTTCGGCTCTGTCCCACATAGACAAGTATAAGTTAATACGAGACAAGTGCTTGATCTAATCGAAAGTGGCCAAACACCAAAACATCTCTAACCTAATAATTAAGGATGTGCATATGCAAAAAATTTGGTTCGGTTCAGCAATTCAGGTAAGTAAAAAAAATCTGTCTGCTTCGGCTATTCGGACCAATGACATTCGGTTCGGCAGCTGCCAAACGTCATCACTTCGGACATTCGTAAGCATCTGAATGGCATGAAATTCGTCCGAATGTAAATTTAGAACGAAACGAATTGCACATGTCTACTTTATATATCCTATATAATAATTGGCTAAGGATGTTTGTTTGATGCAGTCATGCGCAATAGAGACTACACGAGACTGCATGGGACACACATCCCATGCCATGCGGCAAGGGAGCAAAGTACTTACTGTGCTCTTCCAGCACAGCTCCCTTGCACGTCCTTCAGGGTCCACTGGCAGCCGCGATTTGATGCG